TGATACCCGGGGTCAAACAGCAAAGTTACCACAGCATCACAACCAAGTCAGTAACGGGTAAATCCTCCTCTGTTTGCCAAACAAGCATTGATCCGACGTGGCATACTCCTAATGAGACGTCTAAGGTCATTTTGGTCCAGATTGTCCCATTCCTGTTGCAACGCAGCAGCAAGTTCTTGGACATTGGCAGGACGTTGTTGACGTTGACGTAACCTCTGTCCAAGCATGTCCCAGACATGCTCGATGGGGGAGAGGTCGGGACTCAGTGCTGGCCAAGGTAATGTGGTGATGTTCTGTTGTTAGAGGTAACCTGTAACGATCCTGGCCCTGTGACATCTTGAGTTGTCATCCTGGAAGATGAAACGGCGGCCATGACGTCGTGCGAACGGCACAACATGGACTGCCAAGATGTTGTCCCGGTAGTACTGGCCTGTAACAGTGATGCCTCCCCACACCATAACAGAACCACCCCCAAATCGATCATGTCTGATGACGTTAACGTCTTGGAAGCGCTCCTTTCGACGACGCCACACCCTCCTACGTCTGTCCAAAAAATCAACAGTGAACCTTGACTCATCTGAAAACATCACATTGCTCCAGCGTCGATTATCCCAGTGTTGACGATCCCTACACCAACGACGTCTTGCCTGAATGTGATGATCTCTCAAACAAGGGATCACGCGAGGACGTCGGGCGCGAAGGTGACCCCTATGCAGTCGATTCCGAATCGTCTGGCCACTCACTCTCACACCAGTGTCTGTTTGAAGACGAGCGCTGATCTGATTTGCTGTGATGACACGATTTCTCAAGGCCAAGGTACGGATAAATCGATCCTGGGCTTGAGTTGTCGCCCTTGGTCGACCTGAGCGTGGTCTGTCCTGTACAGATTGTGTATCACGGTATCTGGACCATAGCCTGCTTATGACAGACTGAGAAACATTCATCGTCCGCGCCACAACCGCCTGTGTTGTGCCGATCTGTAGCATGCCAAGGGCACGTAACCTTTCATTTTGGGTAAGCCGACGCATATCAAAATTTGTTTTCTGGTCACTAAAACAATTAAACTGATGTTTCCACCCTGGAATTCAACGCCACAATGACTGTAACATTCAAAGTCAGAGTCGTGCAAATCTTGGGTTGGACCCCCATGATGATCCCAAGCATCACCTGCATTCCATGCGGTAGCTATTGGTGCGTTTGGGCGTCACATGTAACTGGAAATGTTTCTTCTGTTAGGTTCTATAGTGACCTTTTTCGTAGTCATTTGCATATTTTAGTATTATGCCCCCAAAATCAAATATCCCCCTACTTTTTTTGAATAGTATATTTCTGATTTCATGAAACTAATTTAACATTTTCATTATCACCGGAAGTTATGTCGTTTGGCAAAAAATGTATTTTTAGCCTTCAAAACAAATATTTTTTGAAGTGAGTTATATTTATTATTCGTTTAACATTATGATATTTGATTCCAATGGAGCTATAGATTGGATCAATACGATCATATAGATGTCCAAAAATTGCTTCTACCATCTTTCTTTGTCGAGAAATAACCAATTTTGTCAGGATCACTTTTTAAAACTTTTTTCACATTTTAAGTTCCCATTAGATAGTCAGCTAACTTAGTGGTAAGTTAGTAATAAATTTTGTCAGGATCAAATTTTTGACATATCTAACGCATGGTAACAAATGTATAAATGGAATTGATATTGCTAGATTTGGTTGATTCTGCGTCCATTTCATAACACGTGTGCAATGCTTACGTTGAAATCTGTTTACCGGTTTCATTGGTACCAAATGTGACATAAGTTCAAGGGTGACGAGGCACAGGAAGTTACATAAGTTCAAGGGTAACGTGGCACCAGTGAAACCCGTCATTACTGCGTCGCAGTTCTAGTTCTTATTATTATTATTATTAGGGTTTCACACTGCGTAGCTTGTGTGAAACACTATTGTTTTTGTTCGGATTATTATTTTTTTTTTCCATTTTGATCATATCTCAGAAACTACTTGTCGGATTGATCCAATTTCTTCGGTTTCACTGGGAAAGTGGGTGTGACTTAGAGATTAAAGCTATTTTGAACGTTCTGTGACAATGCGAAATGTCCGAAATCACCGAAGTGGTTAATTTTTGAAATTTTCTTGTAACATTTACAATAATTGCCGGATTTTAACATTTGATACATTTTGACATAGGCAGAGACAAGAAACATAGCTACGGTTCTTTAGATTGTTGATTTTCGGTGAATCTTCGGAGATATTAGGCGCCAAATTTTGAAAATTTAAATTTTTACAAAATACTTTTTTATTAATGAATATTTTTTGATGATATTTTATCCAGGGCTAAAGGGTCGTCTGATTTGAGCGAAAATGTCAACAATTTTTGTCTAAATAATTTTCCTTGGCCGCTATTGGCTAATTCAGTTTTACGCTCCTAGATTCATTAATGATCGTTCGATTTGTTTGAAACAAAGTTCATGTGCTCCGTTTTCCAAAATGTCATTTGTTTAGTTACCGATAAAGTTTCCTGTCGACACCGGAAGTGGCATAATTTCAACAAAAACTATAATTTTGACAGTTCGGTACCACTTTTTGAAAGCAAATATTATTTTTTCAAAATTTTTTATTACCAAATCAATTCGCAATGCAAAGGCGCACAAAGCATCGGACTCAGTTTTTTTAATTTCGATTTCGTTTTCGAGCTATTTCGATTAAAAGGTGAAAAAAGGTGTAAAATTAAGCTATTTACAACCCATTCAGCGTCTTAATATTTGAAAATATTTCTTCGTAACTTTCATAAACTCGTAGCAACAATCCATACGAAGAGAATGTATGTGAAAATTAGTTTGTAATATGAGCAGTTGCCGAGAAATGGGCAATTTTGCATGAGTGACTTTTTACGCTAGTTTGCCTGTAAAAGAGTCAATTATTATTGGATTTCCATAAAAGTGACACCATTTGATGCGTAATGGCAATATTAACTAGGTCAAGCCCATTTAACATTTTCAATGTCACCGGAAATGACGTAATTCGGGCAAAAACTGTATTTATAGCCATTAAAACCAATAATTTATTTAAATGAGTCGTATTTGTTATTTGTTTAAAATTCTGATATTTGATTCCAATCAACTAATAGAATGAACCCATACGATCATATAGATATCACAAAATGGTTTCTAACTTTTTTAGTTGCGGAGAAACAGACGATTTTCAACAGGTAACTTTTCAAGGTTTTTGGTCCATAAAAGTGTCAATTATTATTCGATTTTCATAAAACTTTCAGTATGTGATACCTAATGCCATTTACGATTTCCTACAAGTAATTTAACACTTTTACTGTCAGCGGAAGTAACGTCATTTTGGCAAAAACTGTATTTCTAGCCTTCAAAACAGATATTTTATTCAAATGTGTCTGATTTGTATTCTTTTTAAAATTATGATATTTGATTCCAATCAACAAATGGAATGAACCCACACGATCATACAAATACCAAAAAATGGGTTCTAACTTGTACGGTTGCAGAGAAATAGAAGATTTTCTACAAGTCACTTTTCAAGGATTTTGGTCTTAAGTGGCAAATATTATTCGATTTACATAAAATTTTCACCATGTCATGCCTTATGCTATTTCTGATTTCGTGAAACTATTTTAACATTTTTATTATCACCGGAAGTAATGTAATGTTGCCAGGATCACTTACATGTAATGAATGTATACAATGAATTGATATTGCCGGATTTGGTTGATTCTGCGTACATTTTATGTGATGTGTGCAATGCTTAAATGGAAACCTGTTTAATGGTTTCATCGGTACCGGAAGTGACATATGTTCAAGTGTAACGGGGCACCGGTGAAACCCGTCATTACTGCATCGCAGTTCTAGTTGATAATTAAAATTGTATAGGGAAAAACATGTAAGGTAATAAGTCAGGGCCCCATCCCTGGCATTACCATATTAGATCTGGGTAATAAAGTTTTTATTTAAAAAAATAAAAAAAAAAATTAACATTTCAGGTCTACATCTCAAAACCTGATGACTTCCTGGACTGGCTTTAGTAGAACGATGATGCATATCAATTTCACCTATGACACCTGTAGTGGAAGTGGAGGGCAAATCATAATCAGTTTGGGTTCCAGCCCCGAGGACCTCTGTAAACTTTGCTTTTTGGTGATGCCTTCATTTCCGAGCTTGAAAAGGACGCTCCTGTATTTATCATGGCCTCTCATATTGGAAGATAACATAAATGGCTTGTGTGTTGACGGTTGTGCATATCTCCTGGTCAGGAAAGTTGTAGGCACCATCGCCATTGTAAATCATTTGACAGGCCAGAGTGAACAGGGAGACCTATGATTGGTCAGCAATGTATCAGATTCCATACTGGGGGGTGGGTATGAAAAAACTGTTGTAGTGTTACATAATCAGATTATTTCAACTTACTTATCCTGTGGAAATACAGCTATATCAGAGATATTTTGAAATTCATAGTCACTGCATGTTTCAACATTTTAGATTTGACCACAATTTGGCACTTGAAACTATGTTAACAGAGAAAAACTGTGTGGTTTTCGACGAAAGTCTAATATTGCATCATGATTACTGTTTTAAAGTATTTTCGTGTTTGATTTATATTGAATTCATCTCATCTTTTTGAAGAATGCATTTATGTTCAAAAATAAAAATGTTCTGTGGAATTCAAAATTCATGTGCTTTTAAATTATCAGATTCCAAACTGGAGGGTGGGGATAAAAAAGCTGTTCTAGTGTTACATAATCAGATTATTTCAACTTACTTATCCTATGGAAATATTTTAAAATTGAAAGGCACTGCATGTTTCAACATCTTAGATTTGACCACAATTTGACACTTGAAACTACGTTAACAGAGAAAAACTGTGTGGTTTTCGATGAAAGTGTTAAAAAGTCTAATATTGCATCATGATTACTGTTTTAAAGTATTTTCGTGTTTGATTTATATTGAATTTATCTCATCGTTTTACAGAATGTGGTCCCCATTGTGCCTATAAAGATTGGAACCAACGGAATGTTGAGCAAAAAGCTACAGTCTGTGATGTTAGAGCCATTTAACATTGAAGTCAATTGGCAAATAATTGCTAGTCTGAGTCCTTTTGGTTGGAAGATTAAGATGTAGCCTGTAACTGGACAGCCTGGACTGAGCACCTGTTTTGAGTAGCCATTTTACCTTTAGCCATATTATCACCATTTTTATCTGTACATTTATATTTTCATATTTCAATTCAAGATTGGGAACATTCAAAATATTTGTAAGTTCGATGTAATATTGTTAGGACTCATTTTGAATACCTATATGGCTAAATATGATCAGGTTATTTATCTGTAGTATTAAGTAAGATTTCACTTCATAACAGGGCATGTGTGATAACCTAGATTCCCTGCCTTTGTATCGACTTATTCTGTCCCGAACTGGCTCTCCCCTTTATATTCTATATGAAATAAGTACTAATAAGCTTTACTCTTCTCGTCGTAATATACTCAAAGCCATTAAAAACGCAATGCCTAATTCGTGAAATATTTCTGGTAAACGTTTTTTTGGGCTTTCCCATCTTATGGCACATAGGTGAAACTTGTGATGGGTCTCTTTTAGTGGAGTTCTGGGTTTGGACCCAATATCAGTTCTCGGTAATGAACTTTGTTCGTGCAAACGCAACACTTGTCTTTTTTCACGATTTTAAGCAGTCCTATGTCACACGTTTTGCACGTACATTCCCTGCACTCTGGCCCTTTAAATACAGATTAAAATTTCAACATTCATCACTTCGGAAAAATGTCACGCCTTACACAAGAAAACAGGAACAGAGCTATTGGCATGCTCAAGATCGCCACATCCGACTACAGAATCTGCGCAACAGGTTCCAGTCAGCTACTGCTACTGCCAGAGGTTACTGTTGGAACACGGCAACGTCAGGTCAGCCCTCAAACAGTCCGAAGGCGCCTGGCTGCTCTTGGGTTACGCTGCCGTCGACCATACCAAGGTCAAATCCTTCTGCATCGTCATCGACTTGCCACAGAGCAACGGGCCGCAAATCAGGGGTATCTGCACAACACACCATGTCGAAATGTCATCTTCTCGGATGAATCCAGATTCAACCTCAATTTTCCTGATGTACGTCAACGTATCTACCGTCGTCGACATGAACGCTTTGCTCGTAACCCGATCGAACACCTTTGGGATGAACCTGCACGACGGGTTCGAACTCAAGCCGTGCCACCACGAACTGTTGCAGAGTTGGCACTGGCATTCCAAAATCATTGGTAAACAATCCCACAGCGTGTAGTGAGACATATGTGCCAGTCCATGCCAAAGCGACTTCAGGCATGTGTAAGAGCTCAGGGTGGACATACCCGATATTGACTCCAGCTGACCCCTGCTTTGTTCCTTGGTTCTCTGACGTTTCGGTTCTGTGCATTTGTAGTGAATACTTTCATGAAATTAACCACAGATGCTTGTTATCTCGATTTTGTCAATTGTTATGTACATTTGTTAAAAGTTGTTGCAGTAAATAAACTTTGAATTTGGCATTGCGTCTTTGTGGCTTTGAGTGTATTATGCAATAATTCATAAAAGGGCTATAAGTTCAAATACATTTATTACATTGTGTACATCTACTTATACAAACATTGTTGTATTTTGCAGAAACAGTTCTTAATAAAGTTAGTTCTTACATTCTCCTGCAAGTTCCTCCTATTAAAGTCATTAAAGTGATATATGTACAAAGAAGGGCTCGTTTGAATTCCCCCGCCCTAATTGCCCTGTAACTACACAAGATTGTCGGTTACAACCTTTACTTTCGATCTACAAGGGGGGATTATCGATATCTCTTATACTAATAGAATTTCCAAGAAAACTCAAATTATTTCTATTATGATTTTTGCAACAAGTCCATACTAATAGAATTTCCAAATTATTTCTATTATGATTTTTGCAACAAGTCCATAGGTTTCTAGACATTTCCGGAAGGTTCAATTAAAATAAAATTGTTTATATTTAAAAAAAAAAACGGAAAAAAAAGATTGGGAAGGATTCTAATGTCCTCACTATCTTCTTTGACAGCACCAAGACCCAGATAAGAATGATGCGCGGTAGGAAGAGTGGCTAGGCAGCCAAGCCCTTTACTAAGAAACAGACCTTCCCCATATAGGCCAAGTCACCAAGCAAACGATCCAGTCTGAAGCTTCCACTTCCGGACCTGTGTGATCCCGAACCAGATGATCAGCCAGATAGAGGAGAGTTCAGGAGATCGAGCAGCAGGATTTCCGGTCCGAGATGGCCAGCTCCAAGGAGCGGCAAGAAAAAAAGTTCCTGGAGGTTCTCCAGACCCTCTTCCCCTCAGGCTGTGCCTTTCCCTGTACGCCTTAAGTTCACAGAGTACATCGGCCCTCCTTCCAACTCCATCTATAGCGTTTAGGGGCCCAAGGATGTCGAATTACCACGAACAGTGCCGAATATTCTAAACTTTTCGTAGCTTTGTCGGCATCATTCGTGGAGATAGTAGTGTATTCGTAACTGAATTCGGCGTATTCGTAAACAATTCGACATATTCGTAACTCATTCGTATCTAAATCGCCACAATTCTTTCATTTCGTACCTTTATCGTAACCCTATCCTGACATTCGGCATATTTTCACCCAATTAGCCACGAATCATCGTAACTCTTTCGTAGACTGTTCGTGTAACTGCTTCGTGGCAACTCCCGATTCTCCACGAATTTTTTATTTTGTTTGGCCGAATGGAATATTATTTATTTACGGATTACGAATAAAACTGATGTGGGTATAATACACAATCCAGAATTTGAGTTTCAGACAAGGTCTTGATGAAAGAATTTGTGTCCCTTTTCTTTGCAGAGTCCGTAAACCTGTTGTGACGTCATCAGAGGGTGATATCTGATATCGTCCCTTGGGTCGATATAAGATATCACCTTTTGATGACGCCACAACAGGTTGATACGTTTCATAACATGCATGGGAGATCAAAGGTGTGTAAAATTAAATAATAAAAGTGTTTCTGGCTGTGGATTAAATAAATAATGTTTTGACCCACAGCAGGCTCAACAATCAGAAGACCGGTATCTATAGAAATCTCAAAGCTAAAACGAAGGCCAGCTGTGTTTAAATGTGAACAAATCAATGTAGGTATTCCAACACATCTCTTGACATGCCATCCATCAATTCAGTTGCCTACAATAAAGTAAGTAATTTACATACACATCAATAAATAATATACAACAGCACGCGCGCTTTGATCAATAAATACTAATCGGCAATGAATGAAATTGACTATAACATCTTGCAAACATGAGACTTCAGTCATTTGAATCTAAATATACTCTTCAAAAAAAGTAGGGGATATTGAAATGCAAATACCTATGTAGGTTGTGATATGATAAATAGTCATGGACACTTGACATGCTTTGAGAGTATGTTCACAGATGAAGAACTTATCGCCCCAACAGAACCACTGAGCTGCACGTGCGACACACAATAGCGCCATACACGTGGAAGGGGTTCATGGTCAAATTTGACACTTCAAGGAAGGGTTGATGAAAACTGTCGCGTGCTGGTTTATCCTATCCATGTTTGCTTTCCTATCTGTTCTTGCATAATATTTTCTGTTTAGCGTATCTTTGCTTTAATGTGTTACGTTTAATTTGCAACGAGACGTCTTCAACATTATGAACGTCTACGTGCTATTGGCATGCTTCAAATTGGTTCTACACAGCGAGCAGTAGCCAACATGCTTAATGTGTCACAGTCTGCTGTGATCAGCAGACTGTGGAGCCGGTACCAACAAACACGGGGGGGGGGGGGGTTGGATGGCCGAATGGTTAGCACGTCCGTGCTGTATTATAGGGCCTGTCATTGAGTCAACTGGCGTGGTTTCGAATCCCCGGTTGTACGTGACAAGGAGTTGGGTCGCCTGTCCAACCTTGTGGGTTTTCTCCGGGTCCTCCGGTTTCCTCCCACAGCTAAAGACCCCTACGCGCAAGCGAATTATTTAAATAAAATTGAACCATGTGTTAGGCCCGAAATGACCTAGTTTGTGTCGAGTGGACTTTAAACCCCATTTCTCTCTCTCTCTCTCTCTCACCAACAAACACACAATGTTGATGATAGACCTCGTTCAGGTCGTCCTAGAGCCACTACACAAGCCCAGGATCAATACATTCGTACACAGGTCCCGCGAAATCGAGACCAAACAGCCAATCAGCTTTCTGTAAACTTGTACCAAGTTACAGGAATTCGAGTTACACCCAAACGATTAGAAATCAGCTGCATGCAGCCAATTTGCATGCGCGACGACCGCGTGTTGTGCCTCCACCATTAACACGCCAGCACATGGCAAACGGGCGTCATTGGTGTAGGCAGCGTAGAAATTGGGGTAATCGTCGATGGGCGCGTGTAATGTTCTCAGATGAGTCCAGATTAGGCGTGCTCGCGTTTGGAGGCGTGTAAATGAGCGTCATGCTAACGTTAACGTCAGACAGCATGACAGATTCGGGCGTGGGGTCTATTATGGCCTGGGGAGGAATCACCATGACTGGCAGAACGGACTTGCATATTGTTCTAGGAAGGGTCACTGGTGTTTACTACCGTGACCACATCCTGGCACCGATAGTTCTGTCCTTTGCTCAACGTGTAGCTCGACGTGCCCGTGCCCACCGCGCTCGTGTCGTGAATGACTACCTCCAGCGTCACTATATTGCCCATATGCCTTGGCCAGCCATGAGTCCCGACCTTTCCGCTATAGAGCATGTCTGGGACATGATCGGGGGACGTATTCGTCGCCGTCAACGTCAACCGACAACACTGCAAGAATTGGCCATGGCACTGAAAGAGGAGTGGGTCAGATTGGGCGGTTGATTAGGAGCATGCCACGACGAATTGCTGAATGTCTGAGGATTGGTGGAAAAATTACTCGTTATTAAGACAGAAATCAAAAATAGGTTGTCAGGCAACGAAACATACGCCCACAGCAGCTAAATCGTCTGGGCAGTCAACAAGTATTGTCGCATACTTTTTTCGGTAATGAAACATTTATAATACACTAAAATCTGATTAAGAGTAACAACTCATTACGTAATTATCAGAAAACCATTAGAATTTGTTTGGTTTTTATAAAGTTCTGCCCCATGCTAGCGTTTAGTATACGAAACATTTAATATCATGGATTTAGCTGTTCAAGTCATAAAAATTCATTGAAAATCAATATACTTGTTCGTCTCAAGATCTTAAACTCTGTGTATCAATCTGAAGTCAATCGGATGATCACTTTAGCCCAGTGGTTCCCAACCTTTTGTTGCCATAACTCTGGTAGTAATTATCGGAAATCGCTGAAAATGAATAGGTTTCTTTGTCTTATGCCCTTAAACACTGTGTATAAATCTAAAGTCAATCGGATATTAACTTTGGCCTCTAGAGCGTCCACAAGATATTTTGAAGTGATCAAGGGCCATAACTCTGGCAGTAATTATCTGAAATCGGTAGGCTTCTTCGTCTTATGACCTTAAACACTGTGTATAAATTTAAAGTCAATCGGATATTAACTTTGGCCTCTAGAGCCTCCACAAGATTTTTTGAAGTGATCAAGGGTCATAACTCTGGTAGTAATTATTGGAAATCACTGAAAATCAATAGGCTTATGAACTTAAACACTGTGTATAAATTTAAAGTCAATCGGATATTAACTTTACGATCCCTGCATTGGCCGAGAAAGTTCATCCCGATTTTCCGACGTGGTTTGCCCTTGTCAGTGATGCATGACGGAGGGCCTGAAAAGGACAGCTGTTTAGTCCTTCGGATGAGACGAAAAACCGAGGTCCGGTGTAAACATTGGAATGCACGTAAAAGATCCATTGGCAGTTGGAATTCGATATAAGAGTTGGCGATAGTGCCGCTGCCCGGCCATAATTTCCCTCATAGCACACTGCATGGCGTATGCCCCGTCTTCATTAGCCCAGTATAGGAGCAGAACGGTAGGACGTTAAACCCCATTTCATTTCATTTCATATTAACTTTAGCCTCTAGAGCGTCCACAAGATTTTTTGAAGTGATCAAGGGCCATAACTCTGGTAGTAATTATCGGAAATTTCTGAAAATCAATAGGCTTCTTCGTCTCATGACCTTAAACACTGTGTATAAATTTAAAGTAAATCGGATATTCACTTTAGCCTCTAGAGCGTCCACAAGATTTTTTTGAAGTGATCAAGGGCCATAACCCTGGCAGTAATTATCGGAAATCGCTGAAAAATAAATAGGATTCTTCGAATCATGGCCTTAACCGCTGAATATAAATTTAAAGTCAATCAGATATTAACTGTAGCCTCTAGAGCGACGGGGGCGACGACAATATACGACCACATTTCAATGTGGGCGTATAAAAAGCGATTTTTCGAACAATCAAGGGCCATAATTCAGGAAGTTACGATCCGATATGCGCAAATATATCAAAAGGAACCAAGATCTGTGGGTAATAAACATGTATTTCAAGTCTCATCAAATCGGATCAAAATTGTGACCTCTAGAGGGTCCACAACCTTGATATACCAGATGTTTACACTATTTGCGTAAGGGGGCGGCCATTTTGTCTGGCAGTTTTCGTCAGATTTTCACAAAATTCGAACTCAATCAACATTACGG